CTTAATGACTGAGCCACCCAGGCGCCCCGAATAAATAAAATCTTTAAAAAAAAAATAAACACCATAAGGTGGATTTGTGGAATCAAGGTAATCATGGCCAACTTACACATAAAAACAATGTTGAAATGCTCAACAGTGCAGTGTATAATACAATACAGCACATCTCTCTTTGGCATTCCACTCTCGAGAACCTCATTAGCAGGAATAACAAAGTGAGACAATTAAGAGAAATTTCCATAAAGAAAGTGTGGCAGGAAAGCCTATGAGGGGAAAGAGGCGTCTTTTGCTGTGAGATCGATCATGATTCACTTAAACTATACTAAAACTATAAGCCTGATGTTAAAAAAAAAAAAAAAAAAGGTAAAGAAAAAGCACTACCCACCAGATATGGAGTCAGTCCCCCCCTCAGGAAGCCTGCGCCTGCACCACCCTCCACTGGGAACAGAACACAACTCAGCTGCTTTCCAAGCCAACAGTTTCATTCGGCACCATGAATTCTCAGGAAAGAGAGTTCATTCCCATGGAAGCCAGTCATGGCCCTCTCCTCACTGCCGAGACAGGCCTGTTTCTTCAGCTCACAACACAGCCAGGCGTCCACCTTTCTTCCTTCTGAGAGAGGCAGCCTGTGGTCTCTCGATCCACCAGGCTTTCGACAAGAACACCTCTCAGGGCCAGTCTTCCAGGACTGGAAAGGCTCCACAAGGCTGGGGCCCCTGCAGGGCCAGCCCAACAGGCTGCAGGATGCCAGGCAACCCCAGTCTGGAGTGAGCCTGGCCTGTGCTCAAACACGATGTCCAGGGACAGAGATGCGGTCTCCGCCGCTTTACTACCAAGCTAGTGTGGAGGAAACGGGAACCTTCCCCAACCTTTCTGTGTGTCAGATCTAAACCTCTGCCTCTATTATTCATAAGAAATTCAACCTCCAGGCCCATCAAATTTCTTCCTAGATGATCACTGTATATTGAAACCTCAAAGACAGGAGCAGAAAAAGATTTTTTAAAAAATCATCCCACATCAGTACAGTGATCCTTTACTTGCTAACTTTGACGCCAGCATCTCTGAAGGATCCCCATCGAAGGCCAGTCACTGCAAACACGGGCTGTTCCTTTTCACCCTGGAAGTTAAATACATTCATTTTAAATCAAAGATTACAGTAACTTGGAATGCTCTACAGGTAAGTACCCAGCAAATGTTCATGGCCTACTTGTCCTCAAACCAAATTCTATAAAGGATATTCAAAATCTCAGAAATTAACTGAGTACTCAGTAAAAAGACTTGAATAAACCAAACTGTAAATGAAATTAATTTTTCTATAGTAGGCCTCGTGAATCTGCTGGCCAGGGAACATATTACCGTACTTTAGACTATAAATTCCCAAGTATATAACTAGGCTGGCTCTTCGACCAATCAGTGGTTGGGTCGGCCAGAATTTCTCCTCTCTCAGAGACCTGTCCAAGGCAAAGCTAATTTAAGCCTGCATTCTCTTTAGAGGTCCAAGCGCTCTCAAGTAAGAGGAGAATCCTGGGACTCTAGAATGTTCACCTGAATATCTAAAACTACAGCCAGGCATCTCTCATAACAAGTCAGAATAAAAAGTGATTTGGATTTAGTCCAGTGCTTTATGGCAAAATATTGCATATTACAATCAGTGAGTTTAGCAATATATAGAAAACATACACAACAGAGCCACTGTCTTTAAGAGTTCATAATGGACCTTCCGTAAAGTATAAATTATACTTTATAAATTAAATATATATATATATAAATCTCAAGATTGTAAATACAGCCAAAGCCCAAGACTCTGCCCACATCTTAAACAGAGCTGTCACATGCTAGACACACAACTCCCCAGAACTTGCTAACTGGGGGCAGAGCTGGTTCGATTTCTACGCCATTAGTACAACCAGTATCAGCAGAAATGGGGACCTGGAGGAGAACCCTCGACACTGTCAACTGCTGGTCTAGAGAAAGTATGTGAAGGCTTCCCCTCCATCCCACTTCAATCCCAGTACACTGAAACCAAGTGAGGGATTTCTAGGAGAATCACACACTCATAGGGGCAGCTTATAAGTAAAGACACTGGGCTCTTGTCCCAGTTCAAGCAGTAGACGTGTTTTCTGCCCTCTGCAGCAGCTTAAGCAAGGAAAAGGGAACTCGGGCGAGAGCCGGTGGAGCACAGAGGTGATGGTGAGGCACCTCGGTCCAGCACAGCAAGGATAGGTTAGTCTCCTGGGTGCCGAGTGGATGTGGAATATAGGCAGGGCTTGGAGTCATCCTGATGATAGAAAGCTAATCATTTTTTTCATGGAATTATCACTAGCGAATACATATCCTGTATTAGGGCCTGGTGATACCAAAAGTATCTGCCCTCAAAGAGCTCCGGGTGCAACGGGGGATTTGCAGACACGCAAAATGACAACACAATGCAGCAGGTTCACATGATGGAGACAGGCATCGAGGATTATGAAAACACAGAGCAGGTATGACTGTATGCGGTGTGCGGGGAGCAATTTCCCCGATGGCCGGGGAAATACAACATCAAATGACACCCACACTAAATTTTAAAGAATAAGGTGCCTACATTGAGGGAGGCTGGGGAGAAGCACGGAGAGACAGAAAAGAGAGAAGGGGTGCTTTAGCCTCAGGACAGAAGCAGCACTGGGTGAGTCTGCAGTATCTACAGTATTTCTCCCAAATGTTCCAGAGGGGCTAGTAAGCGTCACAACAAATAAAAACAGTAATGATGGTAGAGGATTCAATGGTGCAAGGAGTTGAGAAATATCAAAATTCCCTGGTTTGAAACAAGGTATGTTTACCGCAGTTCGTCTTAGAATCTTTAATATGTTCATATACATTATAAACTTCCAAAAGGAGAAATACACACAGTTTCCCTGATCTGTTAACTGTGCAACCCTTCTCTGGCAGGCAGTTTGCATAACTAATATTCCTTGGGAAAGGCTGATCTAAAGCATGCAGGGTCACACGAAGTCCTGCTTTGAGTACTCAAGACTTCCCAACTGGTACACTAAGAATATTTTCTCTTTCTTCATTGTGATTTTAGGAATATTCTGTTAAGATTGGCTGCAAAACCCTGTAACCTCAAGGTGTCACTGATTTGGGGTGCTATCCTAGCAAGGGGTGGGACTCCGGACAATAGGAAATGAGTGTGGAAAGATCTAGAGAAGCCTAGCTATCAGCCAGATGGGCACAGAGCCCTCAGGATTCAGGAGAGGCCTAGGGGTCAGTAATGGAGAGACTGGTCCCTGTTGGGGTACACAAGAAAAATGAACAAGGGCAGGTCGACAGAGTAGAAGCCAATAGACAAAATACCACCCGATGAAGGCCTGGGTGATAAGAGTACCAGTTGGACAGGTCAGTAAACCAAAACAGATACAGAAAGACAGGCACACAGCCAGATTTTAACAGCAAAGGAGATATGCTGTCCCAAGTCACAGACCCCCTAGAAAGAGAAAATGGCCTAATGGTTTCCTAAAAAATAAGTAAATACATAACAACTCTGAGATCTGGTTAGAATAAAAGCATAAGGGACAGTGAAAAGAAAACAATTCTAGTCAACTAGATAGGTACCTAATCTAGGAATTTAAGGAATTCTAGATGAAGAGACAGAAACAAATAGAAGGAATTCGGAAGTTCTGAGGTTTTGATCAGTCAGGGTTTTAACCGAAGGAAGCCAGGAATAACAGAAGAAAGAGATTCTAACTTCAACCAGCAACCCTAACCTCCTCTTTGGGTTCTGGTAGGCAGGTTCTAAGAATCCAACTGAAGGAGCAAAAAGAAAGAACTAGAAAGGAGGGAGGAGCAAGATGGCGGAGGAGCAGGAGACCTGGATTTCGTCTGGTCTCAGGAATTCAGCTGGATAGGGATCAAACCATTCGGACCACCTATGAACTCAACAGGAGATCGAAGAAAAGAATAGCAGGAACTCTCTGAACAGAAAAGCGACCACTTTCTGGAAGGTAGGACGTGCGGAGAAGTGAATCTGAGGCAATATTCGGGAGGATAGATGGCGGGGGAGGGGCCTCCATCGACCGCTTCTGGCAAGTGATAGAGCCGTGGAGCACAAAATTGGAAATTTTAGAAGTCGGCTCCACTGAGGGATGTCGCTCCAGTGGCTAAGGGGGTGTGGAACCCTCGTGGGACATTGTGATCTCAGGACCCTTGGGGTCACAGAAAGACCGGGGGTGCCTGAGTGCGGCAGAGCTCCCAGAGCTCCCAGGTATCGGAGCAGGGAAGCCGGCTGCAGAGACGGAGCCGAGGCGCAGGCTCTTAGCTTGGGGTTGCCATAAACCGTGATCCACGGCACAGTCGGGCCACTGCTCCTCCAGCAGGGACCCAACAAGCGGCAGGTCCGGGGAGACTCCCCTTCCTCCCCTGGGAGGAGCAGCGCAGGAGCGCACCGCAGGGATCTGCTGGGTTTGGAGACTCCACACGGGGTCGGGTGCCAGAGATAGAAACGCACGATCACAGGCCAGGTGAGCACGAAGTGCAGCTGGAGACTGGAGAGACGGGAGTGACTGACTGCTTTTCTCTGGGGGCGCACTGAGGAGCAGGGCCCCGAGTTCTCGGCTCCTCCAGGGTGGAGATTGGGAGGCCGCCATTTTCACTCTCGTCCTCTAAAGCTGTACGGAAAGCTCGCAGGGAACAAAAGCTCCCGAGAGCAAACCGGAGCAGATTACTTAGCCTGGACCCGCAAGGGTGGGGCAATTCCACCTCCGGCAAAGACATTTGGGAACCACAGCAACAGGCCCCTCCCCCAGAAGATCAGCAGGAGCAGCCGGCCAAGACCAAGTTTACCGATCAATGAGAACGGCAGAACTCCAGAGCTAGGGGAATACTGCACATAGAATCCATGGCTTTTTTACCATGATTCTTTAGTCTTTCAAAGTTAATTTTTTTTTTCTTTTTTTTGAATTTCTCTTTTTCCCTTTTTAAACTATCAATCCTTTTAAAAATCTTTTTTATTTTTCATTTTTAGAGTCATATTCTATCCCTTCATAGTAGTTAACCTTATTTTTGGTGTGTGTATATATATACATATATACATATA